ACTGTTATGCTACCATAAGCAAGCCACCTACATACTTTAATGCACATTTCTCTAACTGCCAATTTAAGCTCCAAACGTTGGTAATAAGGGAGGAGTTTCTCTTTTCATAAACAGGGAAAAAAAATTCCTATTGCTTCTAAGCACTTTTTTTTGTACAGAAAGTGACACGTGTATTCTTTCTTCATTTTAAACTTATACAAAGAAAGAGAAAAAAAAGGTAGAAATATTAAAGCAAATCTTCAGGCTCTTAGAAGCATTTTTCTTTGCAACAAGAACTCCGTATTTTCAGATGCAATACATTTACTAACCTAGAATATGCTGACTGCATATTGCAGTGACAAATATATTTGAAATTGAGGAAAGCATTCTTACTGAATAATTCTGATAGGGAAAAAGGGCAATATCTGTATACATTTACATCTACATTCCTGAAAACAGGACTATCAGTCTCGCTGCCCATTCAAAACAATTTTCACATCTTCTATTTGGTTTCCCAAACTCAGAAGTTAAGCAGAGGTTAGAGGGATATGAAAGTACATAGGCCCTACCTAAGTCACTGGTAAGAAGGGGATTAACCTCCTGTTTCCTCTTTTTCTCACACAAAGGTTAAAAGATAAGGAAGCAGATGTGCTGGCCAGCTGGGGCTTCAGGAACGCTGCGACACTGCAGTGCAGGAACCTGAACAGACCAAGAAAAAGCGGGAAACTGAGTAAGGGTTAACTATGTGGCAGGCAAAAAAACAGTAAAAGGTGACCAGTAATGTGACAGCTTGAGAAGTTTTTGTACGTTCTTGTTTTGCTAACTTTGTGGTGGTAGGTGGCTTATTGGATGGACTGGGCCTGAAGACTAGATAAAAAGCTTTTACAGTTGCCAAAGACTCATCCTTACCTCTTTGTCCACTTTGTATCATCCCTCTCGTTACTTTTTAGAAGGGCAAGTCAGAATTCCTTGGCATTTTCCTTTAAAAGCACAGTATTTAAAATAGAAAAACAGGCTGATTTACACTACATGAAACCAAGAGAGTAACAATCATTACGAGCTACTTTACATTTTAAAGCTTATGTTTCCTCTTGTGTAGAAGCATCCAAGCGTACCAGGAAACACTGCAAATTACAGGATTGCAAAATAAAGTAGCGTTTTACTCATGTAATAGTTTTTCATGAGAAATTACGTGCCTACAGACTATACAAGCCTCCTTTCAATAGTGTGTAACTTATCAGTACAGCCAAGCTGACAGAGAACCTGACAGTTTAAGATAAAGAAACTTCCCTGCCCAACCAACCGTAATGAAGATCAACATTTTTTAAAAAGTTACACACAACAAAGACAATTAAGATAAAATTAAAAAAATATTAACTGCCTCAAAATGTTAGCAGCTACCAAGCAAAAATAACATTCCAAGGATGCAAGGTTTTTCACTTTCCAATCTACTATTTAAAGAGTATCTATATATATATGCATATGACTTTCAGTAAGAAAAAGCAACACGACTCCATTCCTTCATAAAATGGTACCTTTTTGCAGACTTTCTAGAGTAACACAACCTAAGTGATCTAGCTTTGCTAAAAAAAATTGCTGAGAGCTCACTTTTGAGGGGGGTGTTTTTCAGACTTGAGGGGAAAAAAAAAAATTGCAAAAAGCTCCATTTGACAATTCTATGTGTTCTGTTCTAGATGGTGATCAGCACTTAGGTGCCAGGAGAGAAATGTGTAAGCAAATCACTAAAAAAACCCACCTGGGTTACTCACGGATAACACACCAGACCTAACATCTCACTCTGTCCTGAGCCTTTCCTTCCCAATGTAAACAAAACGCACCACCCGCTCCGTTTGTCCTATTCATGTTTTGTCAGTCATAGTATTACTATGCAGAGGTGTTTTACTGCGGCCTCCACTTTTCAGACAGCGTAACTTGAGCACCAGAACAAAAACTGATTGCATCTTAGTTACTGTGTGCAACTGGCAGGCTTCAGTCAGAATGACTGCTCCAATTGCCCAGAGTAAGCCACAATGGTTTTTCAAGACTTGTCTTTTTTTTTTTTTTTGGCATATAAACATCACCATGACTCAAAGATACACCTGCCAGTAACATCTACAGCTCTCTGTTCAATGCAGCCTTTCAGCTAGCATGTGATATTCCCATGCGTATGACAGACTGCTGCAGACGATGAAATGGCCTCTTCTTCTCCCAGCAGCAGCACTTCAAACCCCTACCACCACCTTCCCACCTTGCAAGAGCAACCATCAACAGCACGGGTGATTTTTTCAATTACTGCTGAACAGTCCTACTACACGCTCTGAGTTTATTAAGGTAAGACACACCCTTGCTTGAAACACAGCAGCAAAGCAGCAAGCAGGAGGAAGTTGTACAGATTTTGGACCCTTTTAAAAGCAGAAGGAATTTTAAATAAGTCTGGGAAATTCTAGCACAATGAAGCCACTGAAGAGAAAAATAGAAAACTGGAATCACAACGGTATCTCAATTAGATGATACAAGCTTATTTTCTTTACTAGGTACTGCATGTAGAAAAACACGAAAAGAAATATCACTGTTATGTGAAGCTTTTATCTTGTGCTGTAGACTAATGACTCCTCTTGTGCTACAGTACTAATAGGAATAAAAAGGGTTACAGGATCACAGCGAGATTCCTGTTAATGAAAAAGAAAAAAACCTCACACCTAATAGGTTGGGGTTTTTTAGAATTTTTATTGAAAAACATTAAAACCAAAAAATTATCAAGGTCAGTTTTACAATAAATTTAAGACATACAGAATGGCTTACCTGCTATTTGGATTTAGTGCAGGAACCTTATTCCAATATTTTTCTCATGCAATTGCTGGATTTAAATCATATTATAATTTAACAGCAAAATGGATTATTAATAATGCTTTCTTAGGATTTATCTTAAAATTTGGTTTAAAAAGTCAATTTTCCAAAAGTTAAAAACATTTACACAGCAAGATTCCCCCCTTCACAGACCAGCTAATAGATTCCCATGTCTTCTAACTGGCAGAAATAGACCTTTTTGTTATTCTAACCTGAGAAATTTCTTAAATGCTTCTTACTGGACTTTCATATTTGGCAACATTACTTTAGTTACACAGCAAAGTGTGATTTGTCATTCTTGTCAAAGACTAATCTTTCACCACTTATCCCAAAAGACACTCTCAGAAACAGGAGTTACATTAGCATAAATCTGCTGCTGTGAACAGTACACCCTTTTGGCAAATTAAACCTTGTTAGTAATTATCACCAGAACACTAACCTCAGGATGTCAAGTTCCCATCAGTTGTGTTATTCCTACTATTGTGCGCTTTGAAAATATTTACTTTGGCATGTTATACTTTGTAGTGTGGAGAAGTTGATTTTTTTTTTTCCTGCTCACTCCCCACCTTACAAAATCTGTCTTTTCTCTCTTCCATTTATTCAAGCCCTTCCCCTTGCCACCAGTTATCTCCCTTTCTCATAGCTGCAACAGAAACAGGACATAAAGCACACAAATACATTTAAAATATGAGATATAAAAAGGTTGGTGAACAGCAGACAATGGTCTTGTAAAACACTCTTAGTTGATGAATGAGCTCGTAAAACTTAAACCCATCAATCTTTTAGTATAGTATTCAAGCCTTCAATTTTGAATTTGTAAGCTTACTTATGATTTCAAACCTTCCAACATTCAGTGTTTTACTATATTTAAATGTGCTAGTCACTTCACGCTTGCTCACAATATATATAAAACCAATACTCTCAGAAGAAATGATGAAAAAACACTTGATATAAGCAATTTAACTTCCAACAGAATATAACTTCTTTTGCATTTTCAGTAAATCTTTATGTTAAATAATTTGTGTTATTACAAATTGTTGCATTTCAGTTTTACCTGAACTTATTCGATTTGCAAGTGAACCATGATATCTTCCCAGGTACCAGCCCTGTCTGCCAAACTAAAATTTAAGAGAATATATAAACTGAGCTTCGTCCGCTAACCACGGAGTTCAATGAAGTGCTAGATTTGAAAGGTGTAGAAGTCACATGTCCCGAGAAATGTCTGGATTTTTATGTTTGTTTCTATGTAGCTCCAGTCATTACTGGACTAAAATTAATATTGCAGTGTTTAAGGTTTCAACTTCTCTGCAAACTAGCCCACAAAATAAGATGTAGACAGATACCATATACAGCTGATGCATGACAACCTTTTATTTTACTGTAATTTGTTGGCATTTTTGATCCCAAAAGAGGAAACAACAGACTTTGGATTTTCTTAAATGCATTCATAATCTTGATTTTTTTTTTTTTTAATTTTCCATCCAATTAAAAAAACAGGGTTGAAAAATAAGGAGCTAACCTAACTGGTTTGATAACCCCTAGTCTCATATACGTTTTTAATATTATACAGCAAAACTGTATTTTGCATATCAGTGCTGAGCGCACTTTGAAAAAGACCTCTGCTGAAATATTTCCAACAGGTCTTTATAGCACCATATAATCTGCTGTTGATTTAACCGCTTAGAACAGACTCTTTGTGCCACTGCTTCTAAAGACAAATGGTTACATATTTATTTCCTCTAGTATTCTAAAAAACACGATCTAGAAGAAAAAGTTTATGTTATTCAACTAAATGCATGTAAACACTTACTTACTAGACAGTCCATTTTCACTTATTCTAGTTTTGTGAAACTAATCAACAAATTGCTACATGATTCTTTTGGAAGGGCACAGTTTAATTCAGTGGCAGAAAAATCTCATGGGCACGCTGACTGAAAATGTGTCTTTCACTTCATTGAATTTTGAAAGTCTCTTTTTGCTAGATTTGATGCTGCCCCTTCTATTCTAGCTCATTTTCAATTCATAATAGAGAAAATCAGTGACAAACACAAGAGGCCCACAGCTGGCAAAGCCATAGTACAACACAAGAGGAAGAGCAAGGGGACAAGGAAGCAAGAGGAAACCAAGGTACCTGGAAGAAACCAGAAATACACTGAATGCAAGAAGAGCATCTTAGCCCTACAGCAAATTTTACATTCCTTCAATATTTAGATTGGTCTGTTTTCAACTGATACATAATTCAGAATTTATTCAGCATTAAAGGAATACACAATGCAATTAAGCATGAAGTACCTGAACCATTCATGCACTAATAAATGCTGCCACTTTTTTTTCCACAGGTAAAGCCGAAGAAAGTGTGTCAGAATAGCATTTGGTTGAAATGCAAGTAATGCTGGTACTTTACCATTTTTGATAACTGTTACCTACAACAGTCAAAGTCAGTGACTCAACGTTGCAAGAGGCTTCTTTTCCAAATACGAGTTCCAGTAAGCAGAAGTACAAATGAGATCAGTTTGAACACATTATGAAGATTTTTAAACTGCGTATTTCTGAAGAAAGCGGTCAAATGCATCATAAATCGCTTGTCTAAAAGAAAGAAAAAAGATCATTTGTGTAATTTGGGAAAGGGAAGACATAAGCAGCATATTCCGATATACTTACAAAGCTATCATCACAATTTCAAAACAGCGTTTAATAAAATCGTGCTATTAGGTAGTCTTTGTCCTTCACTTACTTCTGGGATCTTTCACTTCAACCCAGTTATAAGTTTCAGGAATGAGTGGGACTGTTTACCAACCTTAATATGACTGCAAATGTTAATGCTTTAGGAGTTTTCTACTTAAACACATGAGGAAATGGGTCAGAGACATGCATAATTTATAATTTTTGAGAAACTGTCATAAAATAAGGCTGAAGTTTTAAATAACAATAAGCTAGTGGTTAGCATATCTTGACCTGGTATGTTGCTATGCCTTTTTGGTTTTGCTTAGACTTCCTAAATGGGATGTACAGTCTTACTAACTCCTTATATTTTAAAATTAACAGCACAAGTACTTAACTTTTTAAAACTAAGGAACTGCATTTATATAACTATCTTCAGAAAGTCAATGCCAAGTATTACTAGGGCAAGAATTCATGCAAGTACTACTCATTTGCAGTCAAGCTTATATTTTAATTCTCATCTTCAATTGTGTGGGTTTTTTTAATTCCCAGAAGACAACATTTGCAAAAAGACAACAGCTGCACAATACAACATAAGCAGTCACTGCTTAAAAAACCCCTATTTTCCAGTTACCGATGAACAAACTAACTAAAAGCTTTTATAGGAAGACAAGAGTGAGAAGGATCATTCTCTTGCCATTGGCTTACTGAACGATCTGAGCTATATTGCACCTCATCTGCACTCACTCATAAACTGGAAATGCTGACATTCTCTTTAAGTTATTTCAGATCCGATAACTTGTTCTTCAAAGCAGTATTTGGTATTTTTTGATCTAGAGAAATTATAAACTAGCTTTTACAAGAAAAAATATGTGTCTCAAAATTATGGTTTAAGCTCTCAACTATTTTTAAACTTTCCTGTTTCGCTTACCTAAAGAGTCCTTGTTTGAAGAGATAGGCACTGACATGACCCCCATCCAGATACCTAATTTCACATCCAGGCCAGATTTCTTGAAGACTGCGCACCCCAGTTCGAGGAATATATGCATCCTCCTTAGCTTGTACAACTATGATTAAACTTGGGTCAACTGGAACTAGAGAAAAACAAATTAAAATTTCATTCATCTAAGGTAAGAAATAGAAAACGTCAGCTGAGATTTCTGTTGTAAAAATACTATTTCTAAAAAAATAAAATTATTCTAAGCTTTAATAAAATTATATTTTCTAAAGTCTCCAGCAGAATTTATCTGATTTTTGACATTACAGTAGTGAGGCCATCAGTAGAAAAACAAACTAACCAATTCCCTTCCCCCCCTTAAAGCAGAAAACTTTACAAGTCTTTGAGGAATGATAGGACAACTGTCTTTCCTCTTATCAACAAAACTATAGCATTCAGCTTGGTTCTCTGAGATCTACTTTTTTCAGCAAAAAGAACTAGGAGGCATCTGAAATTCAACAGAGCAGAAGCTTTGTATAATTCTTTTTCCTCAAGGAGACGAAAAAAGACAACTTTTCATATGAGAGGTCAGACAAAGTGCAGTATATGTTCACTTTCCTTTCTGTTTCCTACATGTTTTAGTTACATGAAAATCCCATCATATTGTTTTATACATACATATTTATTACTCATAACCAGAATTGCACCAATCAGGTTACTAAAAGGAGTAACATCAGAATGATGTTGAGTAAAATAACACCAAAATGATGTTGAACACAGACCAGTTTTCTCTTCACAAAGAGTATATGTGGTATGGTAAAGAGTAACCAGCCAAGATGTTTGACAATGAGGTGTCACAAATAATTTAGACTCCATCCTTTCGCATATACTAGATCATGTATAGAGGATATATAATGCTAAGATAGATTCTGGTCTTCCATTCAATTTTCCATGAAATCTGAATGTTAGGCAGATTTTCTGAAGCTCCTCTCCAGACACTTCAAGGATAAATAACCTGGCAGGGGATGCAATGTCTTCCAAGCAGGAAAAGACCTGGGAGACAACTGACACAGAGGAATACATCACTTTGACGAGTGCATCAGGTTCACAGGCCCTCTTAAGTTTCAAGAAAGGTCTATGCTTTAGCTAAGTGATACCTGGGTAAGTGTCTAGATAAACAAGAATGTCTGTACTTAGAATGAAGTTTACAGGTTTTTTTCTGTCTACTGAAATAACTTTTAAAGCTTTAAGGAAAGCACTTCACTGGTATTCACCACAAAACATCCCTGGCTAGCAGTGATCTGGGACATTGTCCAAGTCAAGAAATCTACACTACTGTAGAAATCCTTGGATTTTTTTTTTTTAAACATTTACCAGTAGAGTACTGAATGCCAGAATTAAAAAATGACAGAGGTTCTCAGCATCAAGAATGTTTTGACATTCAAAGACAACTGTCAGAAACCAGTCTGAAGTCAAAGTATGTTCTAGGACATGCTGAGAATCCTCAGTGGGTATGTGCACAGTTGAACCATTTACTGGAATCTGCTTGAAAAACCTTATTAGCAGATTAATTAGATCTAGATATTATCACATCACACAGATGTTTTGTACTTTTAAATAATACGGATTTGCACTAACTGAAAATAGCCACAGCAAGGCAGAGAAAAAAATTGCAAAAAGATACTAAAAGGCAAATTTTTAACTCACTTTATCGTTAGTTGGCCATTAAGAAAAAACAAAACCAATTAGGAAATGGAGTGGTAAATAGATGCTACTGAATAACACTCAAGATATTTTCGTATTTCAGCTAAGGTGCCAGCAGGTTTACACAATGGAGAATGAAGAAAATACCTTTCCTTCCTTCGTATTTTATTCAGTTTTTGAAACTGCACATTAAAACAAAGAAATACATACCTGAGAAGTTAGCTACATGGGTACATTCATCCATTACTCCTTTCATGAATCTTAAGGATTCTCTCTGTAAAGTGTCACTCTTTTTTATCCTGAGTCCCTGTGGGCTGGTGAAGTTTTTATTGCTATTGCTACTGGTTGAAAATGTTTGATTTATGCACTGCATTTTAGGAGCATCTTGTATTAAAAGTCTTTCTGATGAGGCACTTAGAGTACTTTTATTTGTGGTAAAGCTGTGCACAGCTTCTTTAGATACAGTCTTGTCTGAGGAATCAAGGTCGAACATTCCAGAAGTCATGTCCACATCCTCCAGACTGTCCACACTGTCCGGGAAGTTTTTAACAAAGTCTTGTCCCATCTTGAAAGAATCCGTCTAAACAAAGACAACAGCTCATTTATTAAGGGTTTCTCCTTTAAACCAGCTGGTTTACCTTATTTTTAAGATCAACTCAATATTTAAAAAAAAGGAAAAAAAAACCCCATACAAAACAGGACTGCTCACAGTACTTGTTATTTTCAGCCCTCACGTCACTCAGTTAAATCCTGATCATCATTAACCTCTTGATAATTTCCTTTCTGTCAGCTTAAAAAGGCAGGAAGTACTTGTATATAGTAGCTTATGATACAAACATTTGTTTTTAGTTCTATATTAAACTCTTAATTTATAATTGCAGTCATTTAAGCTTAAATTTCTGGGCAATAAACATATGTGAACAGGTCTCATGTTAGGTCTAGGACTGAAAAATCTACTCTCTCTAAATACTAGGAAGACACAAGCTGGAACATCTTGAAATGTTTCTTCATTTTGTCTGCTCCAGTATTCCTGGAGTATATTTTACTTAAAAATGGCAAGTGCCTGAGTAACTAACTATCTCCACTCCAGCCCCTCTTCTCCTGTCATAAAAATATTTTAAAAAGGACCGTCACAAAGCAAAGAATCTTAGGAAAAAAGTTATTTATCAGAATTGTCTAGAAGACAGTGTTGCAATGTATAAGCAATTTTCAAGAAGTTACCACTCCAATTTAAAAGAGCGGTGAGGCAACAAAATTCCTCTTGGGAAGAGTCTTTCAACCCTAGTCAAAAAGAAAGAGGGGGTAAAAAAAAGGCGACAATAAATTATATTTATTGTCCTTTGTAATTAGCTTCTTGTAAAAAACAGGAAGCTAATGATGAAAGCTCTACCTCATGTTTTTCCCAATTGCCTGTGCAATAAAAGTCTAAAGCTGAGGGAAGGCTAGCATCACACACAGAAACAGAAATAGAGAGACCTAGCACTCTGAACAAACTAGAAAAGTAACTTAATGTTGCTACATATTAAAAATATTCTACAGCATTGAATATGTGGAAGCAATTGCTTCAAAGGGCAATAAAACACGTTTTTATATTTACACGCCAGGCTATTGGTTTTCCAGACTATAAAGCCAGTCACTGGGAAATATTATCTACAGTTTTAATATTTGGATTAAATTAATTTTATGTTGCAAATTACACTAAGTGTGGTCATGGAAAAAACTTGCGGCAAGGGCTATACTTAACACACATTATACAACCAAAATACTAGCTTCTGTTTTTCAGAAGGTTTTCCTTCAAAAGATTAAATTTAATCAAAAGCATATAAGGAAACAACAGGCAAACATGTTTTAGCTCACAATTGGCTACTTTTACTGGAAGTAAAAAGCAGTTACATTATTTGTTAGATTTGCACATGTAAATATTAGTAAATAGGGAAAAGAAACTATACTTACTCCACAGTATTCAAGCATTTGAATGATTTCTTCTTCATAAACTGTTTGTGTAAAATACTGTTTCTCTAGCTCTCTCCAGTTCACTGCCTTGCTCAACACACCCTGAGATTATAAACACAAGCATCCAGTACACAAGTAAAACCCAAAGATCACTCTAAAATAATGATATGCAGAGAAAATCGATCTGTTCTTCTCTGTGATTTTTCCAGTGAAATTCTGCCCAAGTTTCCTGGTAACTCTTAGAATTATTGTCATCAAAGCATAAGCATATATTATAACATAGGACATGGAAACCCGCCTCCCTTTAAAAAAACAAACAAGAAAAGGAAAGGGAAAAAAAGGCAAAAACCAGTCCCACTTCGGGTTTACACACATCTAGACAGGGCTAAACCAATGATGGGTGTCAAAGCCAGTCTATTCATTCACCTACCCCAGCAGCAGTAGTGAAAACAGGTACCCCTCATGGTAGTAGCAGCTTTATTACCCAACTATTTAAGCCAGGCTTTGAGCAGAAGGAAACATGTTTTCACAGCTTGTTTCCTCACCTTCCCATGTTCAGACCAGGTCTCTAACCATCATCCTACAAACCAGCCCCAGCCCCTAATCTGCTACATGACCCACTGAAGTAGCTCTAAGCAACCTTCCTTACTAGTTGCTGTATATTCTGAGCAGGAAGGGTGGGTTTTGCCACTAGTCACTAATAGAGGTCGAAGGGTGACAAAATGCCCTGACTGAAAAGGTAAACATGGCCAACCCAAATCTTTTAACTTAAGTATCTGATTACATTCTAGTGTATTAACAAAAATATATATTAATTACCGTAGTAAAGACTGCAGAAGCTGTTGACCAGGAAAGACACGGAATCAATGGCAATGGTTTAGGCCAGTTTGTCACTGCCAGAGAAGCCATCTAGAATCAAAGGCACTTATTACATCTTTTAATATTGAATTCACAATATGGTAAAAAGTACTCTCTCACCTTCAATTTGTTGTTTATACAGTATCAAACAAATATACAGTGCCACAGCAGTTAAGGACTGTGGCAGTTACATACACTTTCACCTATTTAGAAGACACAGCCTATTCTTCAGTGATTTCCCTGACAATAAATATTGCTCTGAATAGGACTCATTTCAAGGCTGAACAGTTTTTTCTATAAGAATTCCCAGTGTAACATTTATTCTGAACTTTCAGTTGTTTAAAACCATGAAAAACGTCGATAAAGCCTTTTCATCAAGCTCCTGCAAGTTTATCTCAAGGCAAACTGAAGGCAATCTGCGAGAACTACTACTTAAAATTGTGTACTGGAAAAATGTGGAGGAGAAGTAATTCAGCACATCAAATGGACACTTTTTCTGTCCTTTAAAGTTTAAATTATTACATCAGTTCTCGGAACACATTTTTGTGAATATTCTATTTATCCCAGAAAAAAAAAAAAAAAACAAAGCAAAGAAGCTCACCGAAGAGAAGTTTCCTACAGGGTATGTTCTTGACAAGTTTTATTTTATTTCTCTAAACTGAACAACAGTGTAAACCCCTTAATAGAAAATACCCCATGTCTGTGCCAGATGTTCTAATAAATGGATTTATACAACTGAACTATAATTCTATTCTAACTATTTTTATTAATAAAAAGTTACAAGAACACCACAAATCTATGTTCTGAACCAGAAAGTCCGACTTCTTTCTTCTTAGTTCCAGCTCTCCCCATCAGTAAGAACTGAATTAATGCACCTACCTTCTGTTGTAAAACACATTCGACAGATGATCAACATCAAATATGATTTACTTCCTTGGTTTTAAATTGTACCAGAAGTCCTATAAGTAAGTCAGGACTAGCCAAAAATATACCTTCCTGGACTACGAAAAAAAATTTCAAAGGAGTTTCCAAACCCACTCTCTCATGTTTTGCCTCCTTCTATACCCATGCTGTATATGACCATTGCCATAGGATACAGTACTCAGTTATTCCCATAGCATTTCCACACAGCATTTGAAGTGTCCTGCACAAGTTCGTGGTGCATGTATCAGTTTGAGAATTCCAATCCAACTTACAAATAAGAAAGGGAGGGCATGTTTAACACAAAAGTTGTTGTTTCAGCAGGGTGATATTTATGTAAATCAAAGCTGCTTTGTACATTTACAACATTTAGAGTTGTAAAATTGTGCTTTTGGGGAAAATGGTTTCCCTTTCAGTAGACACTACTATTACCAACATTATTTATTTAGCTCCTCACAACAAACAAACAAGGATCAGCAAAACAGAGGTATGTTGTTTTAATAAGCTTTGTACCTATGTCTCAGAGACCAACGATTACCTGTAGAGACACAAGTAGTAATATTTTAACTGTGTATCAGCCTTTCAAGCATCTTACTAATACACTGCTTGTTTAGTTTGAATATGCACAGTGTCATACACAAAATGTTACCCACCTCACCACAGAAATCTTCTCTAATCAATACCAATGATAGAGATAAAAAAGATGAGTTGAGAACAGAACTGATACCAAAAGTCACCTCAATTACAACATGCCTACAAAGAGGAGACATTTCAACCAATGCATTCAAACACAAAAGTTTAAGCAAGAAGAACAGAGGAAAAGAGTGAGAACTAGCAATTTATCAGTACAGACGTTCTTTCAGACAACATTTCTATCCCCGCTTCTTGTGGAAAAAAACATAACTATGTGAGAAGCTTATATTCTTATTAAGCCTGTCAAGGCTGACAAAAGGCTCTATGATTTCTCAGTACTCACTGAGGATTATACTAATTCAGCACCACAGAACGTGAGAATTGCCAACAATTTGTTTCTCATGACTCTTAAATGTTTATTTTAAAGTACTTCTGAGAGGAACACTATAAAATAAATTATTTCCGTATGCTAAATGATCAAATGAGAAGTTAAAACAAAAATTACTGAACAGGAAATATAAAAGCTTACATGTCCTCCCATGGATATTCCAGTCATCCCTAGCGGTCCATAGCCTTCTCTCTCTAGCCAGTGCAAAAGAGCTGCCGATTCTAGAACAAGAGCTCCTCCCATCACAAACAGGTCCGAGACATTTTTTAAACATGATCGTCTTTTCTCCCCAGAAAAGGAAAATACTGGATTTATTTTCTAAGATTAGATTTTGACAGTTCTCATTATTCTATACATACTTTTATATAAAGCCTGATAACAAACCCAGAGAATTCTGGAGCTGAACCCCTGTTAATTCAACAGGAGAAAAAGCAAGTCCAGATTCTCTGGCACTTGTACTTTTTAATCTAAATGAGGACTAGAAATAGAGACCTGCTAAACTTCTAATGTAATATCACTGACAGCCTGGTCTTCTAGAAACAGATATTACCAACATTAGAATCTCATTAGTAGTAATCTTCTGTCCTGTGAAGTTATAATGTATCTTTTAGAAATAGAATCTAAGTGATACAGTCCTAGACATACACTATCTCATTTGCAGAAACAATCCTTTTTTTTTTTTTTTTTCTTATTTACCTGTTTTACATCATTGAAAAATTGCACACAACATTTGAAGAGCAACCAGTATGTCAGCTTTGGAAGCACTCATCAGTGTCACTGTAAGACTGAAATTGTAAAGTGGGAAGTTTGTCACGGTACTGAGAAATTCATGTAGTGTACTGCAAAGCATTAAAACACAGAAGAAACAAAAAAAGAGTAGAAAACTATTCAGCTGAACCATCAGAGGGACTCTAAAAAAGTAAAATAAATTTTAAAAAGTATTTTACAGAGCAATTACTAGACCTCTAATTTGGGATGGGGGGACTGTGTATTTTCAGTATCGCACAGTCAGGTTACAAAAGGCTACTGGCCTCTTCTGCCAGCATACAATCACATTTGAGACACTCTGCAGCACAAGGACAAAGCTTACTGTGCATGCCACAGGAGAAATGAACATAGCTGCTGCAGACCAGTATTTATAAGCTCATGTAATTCTTTCCTACAGCTTTGTTAGGAGATTCCTCAGCCCTCTCCAGCTGCTATATTTATTAAGCACTGTTACTAGCATATTAACAAAAAACACTGCTGCTGCTTTGTAACCGTGTATTGGAGAGGATTACTGGTTGAGGTATTACACTGAGCACTCTCCTTTCAAAGAATCCTTCTCTACATCATGCACATACTAAGCTGACAACTGAGAACAGAGTTAGAAATATCCTTGCCAAAATATTTAATTTATTCTTCTGCATCAGATCCTCAATAACTGGAAAAAAGCCACCAATGGATGTATTCCAGCACATACTCTCTCCTGTAACTTTCCTATTATCTCACACTTCTAAATGCAATTAAAAAAACCCCAAAAAACACCATGTTTAAGCTGTTTTCCTATCAAAAAAGCAATTTTACAACAATCATCTTAGTTGGTAAATGTAATTCACTTTCTTGAAAAAAGTGGTTCTTATGTCAAAATAAATAAAATTCAGCACCTGCTTTGAAAAAAACCCCAAACAACTAGAAACTATTTTTGAATCAAAATTTTCTCCTTCAAAGTAATTTTTTTAAGCTTTTGGATTTAGGAAATCCAAATGCTGAAATATAAATAACATCTAGAAAATCTAAAATGTTGTCGTGTGAGACAGTGCTCCTGGTGAAGTGCTAATAGAATGGACAGGTTTAAAAATAAATCACCTTCTATGCATCTTCTACTCATGTTAAATGTCCAATTTAAGATTAAAAAGGATTAAAACACCAACTCATATTTGGACTTTAAGAAATATTGGTAGACTAAAACCACAGACACATATCCTGCT